ATGAGGTTGTCTCATCATCAATCCCCAAGGGAGAAAAGATCCGAAGAAGAGAAATTATTCCTAAAATGTGCTGAAGACAAGGAAAGCTGCCCCCATTTCGAGAAGAGCCAATGGGAAGAGGTTGGAACTGCTGGTTTCTCACTGAGCTAGAAGTTTCAGAGGATTTCTCAAAGTTTTTCACCAAATGGGTTGTTTCTCTTTTTACCCATTGTATTTTCCCCATTCCCCATGAACTAAACCCCATTTTTTGAGGAGATCCTTTACTATAACTTATGAACAAAGGCTTTCTAGCTGTTTTTGCTGTTGTTAAATAGAGTTGGTATAATATTTTCCATCTTACTGATCTATGCTGGCCACATTTATCAGTTTGTTTGCTCTTGTATGACTCTGAAGGGTATATAGGTAGCATATTTTACTCTTTTGTGGTTAGCTACTCTTTTCTAGTAGATTTGTGGATGCTTAAGGATAAGGTCCGCCTAACCATGCTTATAAACCGTTCTTCATTTTTGGGTATTTAGCAACGGAAGTTGTAGATATTCATATTTGTGTGTCTCGGAAGGGAACCACGTCAGTTTGAGCATCAGTAGCCCTTTTATGCTAGAGCGTCTTCTGTGAGCGAGTGAAAGCATGTCATGATCTCCCCCGTTTCCATCTAATTAACTGTTCCCCGTTCTGTTCATTTTGCTACAACATTTCTTTACCCCCAGCATCTATTAATACAATATTTCTCTCTTGGAATTTCTTTTTGTGTTTTATAGTATTTTACTTTATACAAATATTGATTATCTTTTATTTGAATTTTTGGTATTCTTAACGCACGCTTAGAATAATATCCTTAGTCCCTGTTGATTTTGACCTTGTTGATACTACAATCGGCGAGAATAGTGTACAATTGCACTTGCATTCACATCGGTTGTGGACATGCAACAAGTTTTTGGCGTCGTTGCCGGGGACTAAGCTATTTTACTTTAAGTTATTTTGCTTAAGAATACGGTGCGTAAAGAGTTTCCTTAGCCATACTTTGGTTGCTTTGTAGGTCGATGTATGATTTCCAAGGGTTAGAATTTCTGCTTAATGACCAAATTGAAAGAGCCCTTCATAGGAGGAGAAATGAACAAATAATACAAGAGCAATAAGAGATGAATCGCAATCCGAATCCGCAAGCGCCAAATATGGTAGTTGAGGAAATGCATGAGGAAGAGGTTACTGGAGCAATAGCCCCTCCTCTAAATGCTATCCTGTTAGCAGATGACAGGGATAAAACAGTTAGAGCATATGTGGCTCCAGCATTTTATAATTTTAATCCAGCTATAGTGGAGCTAGATATAGATGCTAATGAGTTTGAGCTTACACCCGCAATGTTTCAAATGCTCCAAATTGTGGGACAGTTTGGGGGTCATGAATCAGAAGATCCCCACCTCCATCTGAGATATTTCTTGGAGGTTAGTAATTCGCTTAAGATCAGGGGAGTAATGAAGGAAGCATTGAGGCTGAAATCGTTCCCATTTTTGCTGACAGACATTGCTAGGATATGGATGCACTCCCTACCATCAGAATCCATCACTACATGGAATGAATTGGTAGAAAAGATGCAAAGTATAAAAGCGACATCAATAACTTTCAGCAATTTATAGGGGAATCTATAAGCGAATCATGGGAGAGGTTCAAGAAGCTTTTGCAAAAGTATCCATACCACGGTATTCCAAAGTGTATTCAGATCGAGGCATATTATATTGGGCTGAATGAAGCTACACGGTTAGTGGTAGATGCTTTTGTAAATGGAGCTCTCCTATCAAGATCGTATGTTGAAGCATTCAATATCCTTGAACGTATCTCATCTAACAATCACCAATCACTAGTAGAAAGTCGGTCTTCAATGACAGTTAAGTTCTATCATTAACATCATTCATGACAATTATGTAATTGTCATCTATTAAGGCATCAAGAAAGAGGAGAAGATGACAAATTTGAAAAATTGTCATCAATGCATTTTCAACTACAGTTATACTTTGTCATGAATAGATTTTCCATCACAATTAATAAATGTCACGGAAAGTCATTTAATTACAATTTATAAGTGTCACTCAAACAATCAAATATTTTTGTCATTCTGTCAATAAATACCTTTATAGAACTAGTTTTTAACGACAGTTAAAGATTGACATGAATTTTTTTTTAACAATTATTTATAACTATCATGAAAATTTTTGTAGTGATAGTTTTAATAGTCAATATTGTCAGTTTTAACAATCACGAAAAATTGTATAACGACAACTTAAAAATGTCATGCAACATTAAATAATGATATTTGATAAATGTCACGTAAAGGTATACAATGACAATTTAKAACTATCATGATATACTTGATAATGTCAACATTTAATTGTCAAGAAACAGTTTAAATTTTTTTTTTTGTCACGAAACCTATTTTGTTGACATTTATAAATGTAACTTTTCATATAAACTTGTTTTGAAATGTTTCTAAAAATCGCTTTCCATAGTTGTACCTGTACCTGTCAATTGTAACGTATTTTACATACAAGGACATATATATCCATTGGTACATCAACCCAACTACAAATATAAAGTGTATACATATAGTAAATTATATATACATAAACGAATGTTTTTCATGTCCATCAACCCCGTACATAAACAAACTATACCAAGTAACTACTAACCCAACAAAAAATGGCCCAACAATCATCTTTTAGATATTCCAAGCAGCTACTCGTCGTGGTTCTCCAGGCTCTTCTTGGAAGACCTAAGCAATGGACAAAAACCTCAAATATTTCACAATACTATATGCAAAAGGTCAAACTACAACAAATGTAGCTAACATATTACTATTATATGTTGTTAGAGTTTATACCGTGTAACATGAAAGGTCAAACTACAAAATATAGCTAACATATTACAGAAACGCTCGGCCCTGCTTCCTTCAACCCTCGTTCCCACATGCTGAACAACATATTCAAAACAAACAATTAAGAAAACACGAATCTAACTTCGGCAAACATACACAAAAGTGGAGGACCTAAACTTTCAAATCTCTTACACTGAGTTTACTTCCTCTTTCTACGCATTGAAAAGGTTAACATAGTAGAAAAGAAAATCATATTTCAGACCTTCAGAATGAACTCACTTTCATAGTCTTTATGCAGTGCCAGAGAGCTAACAATCACAATACGCACCTAAGATATTTTTCTTTCCTTCAAATCACTCGCACAAAACCCTTCTTTCACAAAAACAAAGGTGCAAAAAGGCAATATCAAACGGTTTTTGAAATTCTCAAAATACTAAAGACTTTACCCAAATAAAACTGATTTAGGAACAACACAGATGTTGAACGCTAACAAACAAAAACAATCTACTTATCTAAATCATAATTGACTATCTTTGCTGCAGGATTGTCACACAATTATCCAACTAAAACTTTCAACTACACAATTATCCAACGAGACATTATACTATATGCATGACACATATAAACACTATGTCTTAATTGGCTACTTGCACAATCTTACATAAGCAAGTCAAGCCTAAAATCAATGCACGATATTCACAAAAGAGACCACATAAGTAGCCAGAACGGGAGAGAAAGACAACTAGAAACAAGATATAAACACACCAATCTAAACAACATAGCTTTAACAAACACAAACGGAAATGAAAATTGGTTATCTTTGCTGCAGGATAGCCAGAAAATTATCCAACTAGACTTTCAACTATATGCATGACACAAATATGAACAATAAGTCTTAATTGGCTATCTTTGCTGCAGGATAGCCACACAATTATCCAACTAAACTTTAAACCACACAATTATCCAACGATACATTATACTATATGCATGACACATATAAACACTAAGTCTTAATTGGCTACTTGCACAATCTTACATAAGCAAGTCAAGCCTAAAATCAATGCACGATATTCACAAAAGAGACCACATAAGTACCCAGAACGGGAGAGAAAGACAACCAGAAACAAGATATGAACACACCAATCTAAACAACATAGCTTTAACAAACACAAACGGAAACAGAAACATTATCTAGCACATGTCTCACTGCAAGAACAAGCTTTCACAATTAGTAAAAGTAATGAAAGGAGAAAATATGAAAGACATAAAAGTTTGAACACACTCCACTATTGCCAAAATGCTAACTTGCAGAGAAAATATAAAGTAAAACTGAGGGAGGGACATAACAAATGAAAACTAAGTTCTTCCTCCCCTCCCAATAATAAAATTAAGGGAATGATCACCCACTACCTTTTGCACTATATATATGTACATCATTCGCTCTCATTCAATTCAATGCAATTTATTGCTTTGGCAATCATTCTGATATCCTCCAATGTAGTACCCATGTATTTTATTTTCTTTCTCCACACCAAAATGAAACGAAGCTATATATACATTTTTCATTCCTTCAGAAGACATGAAAACATAATGTCTAACTAATTTTATGGGGTGGTAAATGACACAACGAATAATTCTACTATGACCAACATGCTTTTCAAGCTCATACGATATGTTTTAGCTCAAGAATATAGTCAATAATATGAGGCGTTAACAGTGACCAAGAACCATACCCCAATATACCGTTACAGTATATGTGGTTCATGCCGAGGGTATTGCCCAAAAGTATTCGATGGAACCCTTCACTGAACAAAAATTTTCAATCTTCAACATGCAGCGGCCAACAAAACGACAATGAGTTACATGAACGGTGAAGCTAAAAAATAAGATAGCACATATACTACGAAAAGTATATGTGCGAGAGTATGAACTCTGCCAACTCCCTCCTAATCACATCCAAGTGCTCCTGTGTGTAATATTGCTGTGCCCCTTTCATCTATACATATTTATATCAAAGTCAAAGCAATGCAATGTGAGAATATATATTATTATTCAAACGTTCACACTAGGCTATATACGTACGCATTCTGGGATTGTTGTGTTACGAGCGAAGACTATGTCACGCATTAACCACATGACATAGTATCCACATTCTACTGCATTCGGTTGTTTTGGGCACTATGAATATAACATATAAATAATACACCGCAATGAATAAGTTACATATAAATCCAGACAAATAATTGAACTCGAAAAACGCTTTACCGGTACACGCTTCAGAGCAAATGGTTTTTTCTGTATATTTCTTACAGCCCTACAGCAAGTGACTCATATAAGATATTTCATCATTATATATGCTAAGAAATATTCAATACTACATGAGGAGGCATGTAGTACACTTACATGGTGATGACACTAAGAATATCATCTGTCATGCGATTTCTCATCGAGTCAAGAAAAAATGTCATATTCTTTGCGGGAGATATCACTATCAACGTCCAATGATCTCTACAAATTCAAGTTAATAATTAATTATTCGCACGTATGAAATATTTATCTATGGCCAATACGAAAACTTACCCGGAATGATATCGAAACATCAGCAGTTGGTTCAACTCCAATTCTGAGAGTCTTTTAGTCAATACTTGCACGCGGTTTTCTTTAGATAGATTAGTTATGGAAGTGGCCCCAGCATCTAGAAACTTGTACGGGCTTGATTCATTTTCATTGCCCAACGATCTATGTAAGAACCTACACAAAGGCGTTGAAAGTTCAGTATTTAATAAAACAATATATTGATCAACATAACGTACTCTATAACCAACAGAAAATCAACTTGAAAGCAATTATCTTACATCGTGTAGGCATCAATGCACGGAGTAGTTGTCGGTTCCATATGAAACAACTTCTGTACATCCTCCACCATGATAAACAACTTATGTTCATGACCGAACACATCCTTCGATATAATCATTTGAATTGCCCTTCCAATGTAGTTTATCTAACGAGTTAAACATGTTAGACTAACGGGCGCAGGTTGTGTTGGAGATTTTCCACTTGCCAAACTGAACAGCTCCCTCAAATGTTTTATTTCCTTCAATTCAAGATAATATGGTTGTTAACAATGAACTAATGAATTCTTACAATCAACTACGAGATGTTACCTTCTCATTATCGGATATGACTAGACTTTGAGGCCATAATATATGTGAACCTATTTCTTGCGAGAGAATATCATTTCCTCCATGTGTCGGAATTGGAAGTCGAGAGTCGTCATCAACCACCACGTCTATGGACACTTTCACGTTTCCATCATTCCTCCTAGATTCAAATATAGTGCCTGCAGCGACAACATTATCGATGGACCCAAGTACCAGACGACAATAAGTTCCCTTCTGTATCGAAAATAATATTTATAAGCAGTTGAGACGTTATATTTCTTGTTTCCTTAAATTGAAAAGCTAGTGAACACTTACCTTGAACTCCAAAGTTTCTTCCTTGTCCAATATCTTCAAGTGAACACATACAGTCACATCAGTTAAGTATCGGTAACTACGTGCATTACATTTCTTATAAGAAAACTTGGTAAACATAAATACTTACCTCATCTATATTCTCCTTTTTTAAAATGTTTTCATCTCGCTCATGCTTCGATAAAGTACCACGCTTTCACAAAAGTTTCTCTGACTTTTATCCTACTTCAAAAACAAAATAATAATAACATGACAAAAAACTTAACATGTAAATACCAAATTTCTTCTAAACATAAATAATTCACATGATAGAGTAGGAAACCATTTTTGCTAAATATAAACTAGATACCGAAAGTATCATGTGCAATCAATGTGGTCGTCCTGCAATTCCTCAATGGATAATGGAAATGAAGATTTCCAACTCAATTGAAGTAGTAAACTCTGTCTACAAATTT